CCGGTGATGGGTATTAAGGAGGGCACGTACTGCATGGAGCACTGGGTGTTATACAAAAACAATGGAACGTGGATCACTACATCAAAAACTAATGATGTATTGTATGGTGACTAACATAACATAATAAAATTAAAAAATAAATAAAAATAAAAGGTAGCATCAGTTGCTCATACAGACTCTGTCTTTCCTCCTAGTTGCTAAAAACACATGAACTCATATTGTCAACATAAATAATTCTTTAAATTTCTGACTTGCTTCTTTGATTAAGGGAAGAAAAATGTAACACAAGAACACCTATATTAAATGAATATATTTAATAATAATATATTAAATGAAAATTTCACTTTCATTTTGAATTAGAAAGTAAGTATAAAACAAAGAATATTTTCATAATATGAAAGCATGTTAACTCATAAAAATATCCATTGCAATAAAAATGAGAAATGTCAAAATGAAAAAAATATCAAATTTTAAAGACATTATACAACAATAGTGAAGACACTCAAAATCTTAATATTCACCAGAAAAGACACTTAAAATATTCAAAAGAAGATATCTTATTTATCATTTCTTGGTAGAACCTGCTTTAGAACAGCATTAAAGAAAGGGTAAGCATTGGGGTGCCTGGGTGGCTCAGTTGGTTAAGCGTCCTACTCCTGATTTCGGTGCAGGTCATGATCTCAGGGCTGTGAGGTCAAGCCCAGTGTTGGACTCCACCCTGGGCATGGAGCCTGCTTAAGATTCTCTCTCCTACTCTCCCTTTGCCCCTCCCCCTAACTTTTCTCCCTCTATTAAAAAAAAAGAAAGAAAGAAAGGGTAAGCACTTTGGAAAACTCTTCAATATTTAAGAGATGAAAAGGACTTTAAAAGAATCTCAATTATTACTAACAAGTATCAAAGTCTTTTTTTTTGTTGTTTTTTTTTTAAAGATTTTATTTATTTATTTGACAGAGAGAGACACAGCAAGAGAGGGAACACAAGCAGGGGAGAGTGAGAGAGGGAGAAGCAGGCTTCCCACTGAGCAGGGAGCCTGAGGCGGGGCTCGATACCAGGACCCTCCAATCATGACCTGAGCCGAAGGCAGACGCTTAACGATTGAACCAGCCAGGTGCCCCTAAGTCTTGTTTTTTTTTTTAAAACAACTTTATTGGTCAGGAAGTCTCATGTGACAATATAACTACTCGAGGAGACTGAAATCATAAGAAATCAAAGGTCAGGAAACTGCCCTGTCTGTATTACCTATGGGTAATTTGTCTTTCTAATCCATCAAGACATCAGGTCAATACCACAAGTCCCTGACCCTAGATAACGTTCAGGCTTGGTTAAATGTAGTAGAGATTCGTTATTTTGGTCCACCACTTACCATCTCTTTCAAAACTTCATACATCTGTCTCAGGAACTCCTGAAATCGAGGTAGGTGAAGGCAGGTATCTTGCTGGGTTTCCAAAGTGGAGGCCTGGTCCCACACAGAAAGCTTCTGCAGCCAAAACTGATAATCAGAAGAAAAGCCTACTGAATCTTGAGCCATCTTGGAAAAAGGGAAAAGGTGATGAACCTTCACAGTGACCTGCCAAGCACTGAAGGAAACAGTGAGCACACATCAAATCTAGAAAAAAGGGGAAAAATGAAACATTTTTAAAAGGATTTTTACTGGTGACTTCATATTCCACTGATGAGTGAAAGGGGGAGTATAAGGGACTAGAACAGAATGCCTTCTATGGAGTCATCTTTGAATTATTTTAAAACATGTCACCCAGCTATAGCTCCAATATTCACCTCCTGAACTTTTTATCATGGGTAATATTCTACTAGAAATCATTATATCTTCACAGACACATGCTAATTATGCACAAAAAGCACACACCTAATAATACTTTATATCTTCTTTTTAAGATTGAGCTATTTTTAAATGGTCTGAAGTTCATTTGGGTATTTTAATGTAATGGGAAATCAAAAACATCCATGGGTGTTTAATAATAGTCTGTGTCTAAAAAATGTTTTTTTAAGTTTTCATGTTTTATATGCATTTCTGGCTTCTCATTTAGGTGTTAAAGAAAATCTCTATGCACTACTGTCTACTGAAATTTCTTCCCAGTTTCTCTTCACTTTTCGGAAAAAGTAAAATAATTCATTCCATATACATCGATTTAAGCAACTGATTTAATTAAAGACTAGTATATATGCTTGATCTCAGTTCATTCACAAGAAGAAATCATATTTTAGTAAAATATGAAAAACTGCAATTATTGAGGAGGTGTACTAGTCCTAAGGGATAGAACACAGCCCATAAATCTGACTTACCACACATGAAGTACATGTTAGAAAGAACCGTGGAGTGGCGCAGTGAGCGTGGGCCTCAGGCAGAGCTGGCTAAATAAACCCCAGGTGCCCCCCCACCACCCCAGCTCCTCGCCATCCTCACCCATAGAAGCACACCGTGCAGAGGAGGAAGAGCTGCTTCTTAACCATGCAGGCTTTTAAAAGGTCTCCGACTTTCTTGGGGCAGGGATGATACTCAGCTATCTGATTTCAAAAGACAGCTCTGCAAACAGTGAGTGAGTTTAAACTTTCAGCAGCAATAATTAACAGATAAAATGGTCCCAATTAGGTGCTAAAAACATCAACATAGGAGTTTCATTACTAAAGAAGAAAATAAAAATATTTAAGGAGAGCATACAATTTGGTTGCAGTACAAAAAACTCTAGACCAGGAAGGTGGAAATTTTTAAATGGTCCTAAAAACTTGGTCTTAGGGACCATGAGGGAAAAAAAGGTTTAATCATAGAAGAAATATATGCATCTTGTCAAATGGCACCTAATAGCCAAAACTTTATTCCTTCTCCCTGATTCCTCCCTTTCTCTCATTGTCCTCCTCATCCAAGCCATCACCAACACCTGTCAATCCTACTTCCAAAATAAAAATGCATGATTTCATTCAACTTATCCACTTCTTTCCAACTCCACTGCTGCATTCCATCCCATCCCCATCCATTTCTTCCCCTAGAGTCTTCTACCTGGCCCTCCCCTCCCCCCACCCCTTTCCAATTCTTTCTCTACAGTCCACAAAACAACTTTCCCAAATGAGAATCACACCCAGCACACTCCTGTTTAAAACCTGCCCCCAACTTCAAAAGCTTCTACAGACTCCCTGTAGAAAAGATCCTAGCTCCTTCTCCTGGAGTCTCTGAAGTCCTGCAAAAATTTAGCTATGGCACCTGCTCTCATTTCCTACGCTGTGCACCCGTCCGGTCCAGGCCTCTCATCTGTTCACTGTCAACACATGGAAGCCTTCCCTGCTTCACTGCTTTCTGCTCATTCCTCCATAACTCCTATCCCATCCCCTAAGTCTTGTTTTTTTTTTATTTTTTGTTTTAAAACAACTTTATTGGTCAGGAAGTCTCACATGACAATGTAACTATTGTCAATGTAATTATTTGCTCACTTAGTTACTGCTTCTTCCACTGGTATATAATTCCCTGTCTCCTAGAATTTAACAAATGCTTGGCAAACAAGAAATATTGGATAAAGGAATGAATAATTCACTCATATTTTTCAAAGTATAGTTCTAAACTAAACGCCATAACAAAATGCTTTTCCAGATATAGCAATTTAATTTTTAAAAGGTAACTTCCCCAGAAAAAAAAAAATTTTTTTTTTTTAAAGATTTTATTTATTTATTCATGAGAGACAGAGAGAGAGAGAGAGAGGCAGAGGGAGAAGCAGGCTCCCAAGGAGCAGGGAGTCCGATGTGGGACTCGATCCCAGGACCCTGGGATCATGACCTGAGCCGAAGGCAGACGCTTAACCATCTGAGCCACCCAGGCGCCCGAAAAAAAAAAATTTTAAGGTGTATCTATGTGAAATTTAATTAATATCCCATTTAGAAATACAGTAATAGCTTATACCTACATACACTTACTGTGCTCTTGACAATATATTAAATGATTTATGCACACTAATTTAATCCTCTAAGCAACCCTATGAAATGGGTATTATTATCATTATCTTCATTTTACAGAGGCACAGAGAGATTATGTAATTGCCCAAAGTAAGATTATGTAAAAGCCCAAAGGAAGTAACTGCTAGTAAATAGCAGATCTACAGGTTGTGGGATTTGATTCAGAGTCTAGCTCTAAAGTCTGTGCCCTAAACAAAGAAATAAACAGAAGAAACAAATTAATGAATTTCATACATAGTTCATATGGTTCTAGATGAGGCCTGTTTAGATATTCGGAGACACTAAACTGAAGACCTTTTTGGTAGGAGACAGAAAACATTATTTTATTATAGCCAAATTACAAACAACCTTTTGCTTAGCAATAGGAATACATCTGATTGTTTTAAATGGAAACAGCTTTAGGGATCATGTAGCCATGGTTCTGAGGGCCTGTTCACAGCCGGTCTAGGGGGAGATGGTAATGGCTGGGAAACAAGGAGACCTGATTGTGATGCTTAGCAGTGGGAGTGCTGCTGGTATATAGTGCCCAGGAGCCAGGGATGTTGAACATACTGCAATGCACTGGGACAGCATCACACGAAGAAAAATGGTCTTACCCCAAAGGCCAATGACACCTCTACTGAGAAATGATGACCTAATCCGAACACCCTGGAATGGGCATCTGTTGACTGTGCCTGTTGAGCATTCCTCCTCCCTTCTTTTGGTTACAACACCTCACCATCCCTTGAAGAAAGAACCTCTCCTTCATTCCACAAGTCTTGGTGAGTCTATTAATCAAGGCACCTTGCGGCATCAGCCAAGAGGTGAGATGATGACTCAGGTTAGGCAAACCAGACCCTGTGCTGGGAATCTGAATCTTGAATAGACTGACATAAGGATGGAATGAAGTCATTCCAAAGACTCTCTCAGTCTAGATCCCTAAGGCCACCCTACATCATGTCCTTAACAAGGTATAGCTTTCCAGCTATTTTTTCTAAAAGATTTTATTTTGGGGGTGGCTGGGTGGCTCAGTCAGTTAAGCATCTACCATCGGCTCAGGTCATGATCCCAGGGTCCTGGGATTGAGTCCCACATCGGGCTCCTTGCTCAGCAGAGAGCTTACTTCTCCCTCTGCCTACAGCTCCCCCTGCTTGTGCTCTCTCTCTCTCTCTCTCGCTGTGTCTCTCTGTCAAATGGATGAATAAAATCTTAAAAAAAAAAAAGATTTTATTTTTAAGTAATCGCTATACCCATCGTGGGGCTTGAACTCACAACCCTGAGCTGAGATCAGGAGTTGCACGTTCCACCCACTGAGCCAGCCAGGTGCCCCTCAGCTCTCTCTTTAATTCTGTCCACTACCCAGGGGCTTTCTGCAAAATCCTTTTTTTCCCCCTTAAATTAACCACTGTTGATTTCTGTGGTTTCAGGAAAAAAAAGCAACTACAAACTGATAGTTTCATATATACTGATATAACATCTAATACAAACTAGATAGTGGGCTGCAGGCAACAAACCTTTGAAGAAAGAAGAGGAATTTAGAACTGGTTACTGGGCCAAATCATAGAAATCAGCAGGGAAACTTCTGTTTGTATTAGGGTATCGGAAACCAGAAGTCCATGGAACAAGAAGGGAATACAGGTCAATGAGGTATTCCTATGATCAGGGACACTACCTCATTATACTCTTCTAGTAGGAATGACCAAGTGAAAGACTGGATTATCAAAAAATGATGTCTGGGCGCCTGGGTGGCTCAGTTGGTTAAGCGACTGCCTTCGGCTCAGGTCATGATCCTGGAGTCCCTGGATCGAGTCCCGCATCGGGCTCCCTGCTCGGCGAGGAGCCTGCTTCTCCCTCTAACCACCCCCCTCTCATGTACTCTCTCTCTCTCTCATTCTCGCTCTCTCAAATAAATAAATAAATCTTTAAAAAAAAAAAAGATGTCTGGTGATCTGCAAAAAAAAAAACAAAAAACAAAACCCACCTCTCCAACCAGGAGGCCAGTTGGTTTTAGTCAATGATATTGGGCTATCATAAACATAATCAAATGGTGACTCCAACTCAAGGTGTACTTTCAGATGTAGATCCTAACTGGAATAAACTAGTAACCACCACCCCCACCCCTACCCCCCCAGCACCTAGAATGCAGTTACGAAGCTGGTAATAAACGCATTTCTCCATTGGGATAACCTGAGGACATGAGTAAGCAGTTCATTTTCACCTCCCTTAAAGCAGTTCACTTTCACCTCCTATCAACTCAGAACATGGTGTATTACACTAGTCTACCATATTGAAGTTATCAGGTTGACAGAACCTAGAGACAAAGAAGACACAGGTGCTTTGCACGTATTCCAGATGGTGGGATATAAATCCCATGAACATACAGGGCCTGCCACTTCAGGAAGTTTCTTGTGATCCAATGGTCCGTACAAGACAGAATATGCCCTTTAAAATAAGGATAAACAACAAACTAGTACCAGCGGTTGCCTGCAATGTGGAGACCTGGATAGCTGGATGATAAGTGCAGAAAACAAACTTGGGTTTTACTGTCCACCTTTTTGCACCTTTTCAAAACATTTGGCTGACATCTCTGGGACTCATGAACATAAACTTGCATGGGTTTTAGACCATTTATCTGCTTCTGCCTATTTTTTGGCAATAAGAAATATGGGT